ACTTACAGTGGTTGCTGCGTCAATAGGAAATGTCGTCACCCGGTCAGATGTACACTGAGTTCATCAGATTTTAAATGCGGTATTTAAATGCTTTTTTAGGTGAAAGATGACTGAGTCACGCGGTTGTACTTCACGCAATCAATAGACTGGCCCTGCCTATATTATAATGCAGGATTGAGAGCTGAGACCTGTGAAGCAGGTTTCGCCTGAGCAGATCTGAGATTTAAAATCTCTCAAAAGCGATTTAGCCGTTTTAGCTACAATAACTACAGAACAATTATACAGAGTAGAATAAATTAAACAGAGAAGTCTAATTAAACAAGAATATAACTTACAGTGGTTGCTGCGTCAATAGGAAATGTCGTCACCCGGTCAGATGTACACTGAGTTCATCAGATTTTAAATGCGGTATTTAAATGCTTTTTTAGGTGAAAGATGACTGAGTCACGCGGTTGTACTTCACGCAATCAATAGACTGGCCCTGCCTATATTATAATGCAGGATTGAGAGCTGAGACCTGTGAAGCAGGTTTCGCCTGAGCAGATCTGAGATTTAACATCTCTCAAAAGCGATTTAGCCGTTTTAGCTACAATAACTACAGAACAATTATACAGAGTAGAATAAATGAAACAGAGAAGTCTAATTAAACAAGAATATAACTTACAGCGGTTGCTGCGTCAATAGGAAATGTCGTCACCCGGTCAGATGTACACTGAGTTCATCAGAGTTTAAATGCGGTATTTAAATGCTTTTTTTAGGTAAAAGATGACTGAGTCACGCGGTTGTACTTCACGCAATCAATAGACTGGCCCTGCCTATATTATAATGCAGGATTGAGAGCTGAGACCTGTGAAGCAGGTTTCGCCTGAGCAGATCTGAGATTTAAAATCTCTCAAAAGCGATTTAGCCGTTTTAGCTACAATAACTACAGAACAATTATACAGAGTCGAATAAATTAAACAGAGAAGTCTAATTAAACAAGAATATAACTTACAGTGGTTGCTGGGTCAATAGGAAATGTCGTCACCCGGTCAGATGTACACTGAGTTAATCAGATTTTAAATGCGGTATTTAAATGCTTTTTTAGGTGAAAGATGACTGAGTCACGCGGTTGTACTTCACGCAATCAATAGACTGGCCCTGCCTATATTATAATGCAGGATTGAGAGCTGAGACCTGTGAAGCAGGTTTCGCCTGAGCAGATCTGAGATTTAAAATCTCTCAAAAGCGATTTAGCCGTTTTAGCTACAATAACTACAGAACAATTATACAGAGTAGAATAAATGAAACAGAGAAGTCTAATTAAACAAGAATATAAGTTACAGTGGTTGCTGCGTCAATAGTAAATGTTGTCACCCGGTCAGATGTACACTGAGTTAATCAGATTTTAAATGCGGTATTTAAATGCTTTTTTAGGTGAAAGATGACTGAGTCACGCGGTTGTACTTCACGCAATCAATAGACTGGCCCTGCCTATATTATAATGCAGGATTGAGAGCTGAGACCTGTGAAGCAGGTTTCGCCTGAGCAGATCTGAGATTTAAAATCTCTCAAAAGCGATTTAGCCGTTTTAGCTACAATAACTACAGAACAATTATACAGAGTAGAATAAATTAAACAGAGAAGTCTAATTAAACAAGAATATAACTTACAGTGGTTGCTGCGTCAATAGGCAAAGTCGTCACCCGGTCAGATGTACACTGAGTTCATCAGATTTTAAATGCGGTATTTAAATGCTTTTTTAGGTGAAAGATGACTGAGTCACGCGGTTGTACTTCACGCAATCAATAGACTGGCCCTGCCTATATTATAATGCAGGATTGAGAGCTGAGACCTGTGAAGCAGGTTTCGCCTGAGCAGATCTGAGATTTAAAATCTCTCAAAAGCGATTTAGCCGTTTTAGCTACAATAACTACAGAACAATTATACAGAGTAGAATAAATGAAACCGAGAAGTCTAATTAAACAAGAATATAACTTACAGTGGTTGCTGCGTCAATAGGAAATGTCGTCACCCGGTCAGATGTACACTGAGTTAATCAGATTTTAAATGCGGTATTTAAATGATTTTTTAGGTGAAAGATGACTGAGTCACGCGGTTGTACTTCACGCAATCAATAGACTGGCCCTGCCTATATTATAATGCAGGATTGAGAGCTGAGACCTGTGAAGCAGGTTTTCGCCTGAGCAGATCTGAGATTTAAAATCTCTCAAAAGCGATTTAGCCGTTTTAGCTACAATAACTACACAACAATTATACAGAGTAGAATAAATTAAACAGAGAAGTCTAATTAAACAAGAATATAACTTACAGTGGTTGCTGCGTCAATAGGAAATGTCGCCACCCGGTCAGATGTACACTGAGTTAATCAGATTTTAAATGCGGTATTTAAATGCTTTTTTAGGTGAAAGATGACTGAGTCACGCGGTTGTACTTCACGCAATCAATAGACTGGCCCTGCCTATATTATAATGCAGGATTGAGAGCTGAGACCTGTGAAGCAGGTTTCGCCTGAGCAGATCTGAGATTTAAAATCTCTCAAAAGCGATTTAGCCGTTTTAGCTACAATAACTACAGAACAATTATACAGAGTAGAATAAATGAAACAGAGAAGTCTAATTAAACAAGAATATAACTTACAGTGGTTGCTGCGTCAATAGGAAATGTCGTCACCCGGTCAGATGTACACTTTAATAATCGTGATATCAATTATTGACCCAAATAATCGAGATTAGGATGTTTGCCATAATCGAGCGGCCCTAATGCACATAAGCTACAGTGTAGAAATGGCAATGAAATTCTTCTGACCTGAGCTACTCCAACAAATATAATAAAATACAAAAATAAAAATAGTGCAAGAAGTCTATATACATGTAAATATAATATGATATGTACAAGAACGGGATATTAAATTAAATAATGTACATTAAGACAAAATTAAATACGGCCTATTGCGATGATAACTATTTATATAAATAAGTAGATTGCACGATGATTAGTTATATTGGCAAATAGTTATAGTTATATCCTTATAAATAACGCATACTGTGTATATACTGTATACATTTTTTTTTTTAAACAAAAGTAAGCTGGGCTGGACATTGGCACGCCTTTTTTATAGCCATGGATAAAGTACACGGCATTACAAGCCTTCTCGTTTCTATGCAAACCAGATGGTTTTCTGTGCAGGTGCAAATGACAAGGGTCACTTTCGATTGCCTCTTGATGGCTTCCCGTAAATAGCAACATGGCTCATTCAAGGTGCAGGAGATCCTTTCATATAAGCTAGTAAAAAAGTGTCCACAAAGCTTCTGACAGTTGCAGCTACATATATACCAACACAAAATAATCAAGCGTTTATACTAAACCATTACCAGCGTGACAGGAAATGAGAGACATGTGGGTTTACTTTAATCATGTGCACTGAACCCCATGTGATTGATAATTGCATGAAGCAAACTGTAAATCATGTGAAACCTATCAGGTGGTAGACCTTCAGTCTGCAGGTTATTCAGTGTAAGAGCTGAAACAATACGTTTGTAATCAACCATTTGTGGTTTTTGGTCCCAAATGTGATAATTGAATGCTGTATTTTTCTTATATCTGTTTTGTATGATCATATATTGAATATATTTGGTATAAACTGTTGGTTGGACAAAACAAGCTATTTGGACTTTTCATAAAACACTTTCGGACAAACTGTTCCATTCATAGAAAAAAAACCATATAAGACTTTTCATAAAACTAAAAACAGCTCTAGAAAGTACAAAACATTTCCCAAATTGGGATCAATAATGTTTTATCTTATCTTACCCCATAAAGTTGATATCAACACAACTGAGGTGTTTTAGTCCAGTTTACCCAGAAACAGAGGAGATTATGTGGGCACATGTTCAACCAGTTCTCGTCCCTATTACGTTTTGTGCTCTGATCTTTCAATTTAAACTCATGTTTTAAATATGTTTTTCTATTCAGATATGGTATACACAAAAAGCAAAGTAGCACTTGATATCTTATGTTATCAAAGAGTGGGTGTTAAGTGTTAACAATCTTGCAGATACAACAGCATCTAAGGCACTTCAACCTGCACTTTGACTCACTGCTATAAAAGCAATAAAATGTAATGCTTTATATGGAAATGCAGAGTAAAGAGGCAGTAGTGACCGTGACTGTAAAACTCAGCAATTAGGATTTAGATTTCTAAATTATAAAACGTAAACATAAATGAACATTTGATCTGTGTGCAATAGAATTTTGAAATGGTTTGCACTTTGAGAGATATAAAAACAACACGGTGTCTATGGGGTTGTTTTTATAACGTTAATAACCCAATGGCTATTTAAAGGATGATTATACTACAGGTAAAATTACATTAGCTTAACTTGTGCCTCCTCAGTAAATACGGTAAATACACAACACCCATCTTCTTCCCCTGCAGGAACAATCTGACTCCTCTCACACAGGAGCGGGTGAATGGCAGTAATAGCCACAGTGGTTAATGGACAGATGTATTTTCCCTCCTACCTGAGAATAGCCTGGAAAAATATCTCATGTACATCGGGTTTTTATGCAAGTCCGTTTTGGGCTGGTCTCCGGCTTGTTTTCTCCCTCAACTGCTCTGAGTCTTTGCTGTGAGAGCCATTAAGGAAATAGTGCTGCCTACGTCATCGACACGAGCAGAAACATCAAAGTGTTCGCGAGCATCGGAAAAAGCGCGACAAAACACAGAAACGTGGTTTGTGTTATTATCCAAAGAGTACAGGCGAAACAAATGCAGCCACCATTAATTATATGTATGTAACTCACTGTTACTTGCAGTTTCTACCTAATGGGGAGACATACACGCGCATTGTTATTCATGTTGCTTTGTTTATTTGGCGCAAAGTAACGTTATTTATATAGCATAGCCTAGCTTCAGTAAACCGCTGTTTTATCCAGTTAGTCTTCTTACGCCTTGTCGTTTTTCTTCAGGATATAACGGGCAAAATAAGTAACCGGATCAGTTTCCAGGGTCTGAGTCAACACTATAACCAGGAAACACGTTGTTCCAATCAACACTCCTGACCGCAAAACTACCCGGATGTCTGAACGCTGAAGGCCGCATGTGTGCTAACGTGGCTAAAGTCAGCTGTTGAGCTAACGACACATTTTATCCTTAGCATAAGTCTTCTGGGCAGCCGATTAAAATGTTTGGTTCCTCCAGATCTGGAGGGGTCAGAGGAGGCCAGGACCAGTTCAACTGGGATGACGTGAAGGGCGATAAACACAGAGAAAATTATCTCGGTAAGTCTCAACACTATCTGAGCTAACCAGAGCTAGCATTGCTAATAGCTGTTTGTTTGCTGTTAGAGAAAGTATCTTAAAATCACAATTAAATTACACTTCAAAGCGTCAGTACTGCACAAACATCTTCTCCATACCTTTTGTTTTGGAGTCCCTCATTACACAGTGTACTGTATTCAGTAGTATTATCGTTTCCACTCTATAAACTGCAGGTCCAAGTTGTCTTTGCACCCTCTCTCTGAGCACACACGTATCTCCCACTGCTGGCAACATGTCAGCATGCCAAACAAGAATTACGTAGCGCCCACCACAGCTGGAACACAAAAGGACGATATAGACATTTATTTAATTACAATTTATTTAGCCAATACAGCCTTTTAAAGGTGACTGAAAATAAACTTTGCCTGAATGTATGTCTTGACCAGGACAGGCAGTAGCCCATTAATGAATGTTACAGACGATACCATTTCAGATCACAGCATGACACAAAGTAAGTCTGAAGTCTTCTTATCCTGGATCATATAGGAGTTAGCTGGGTAAAGCATCTACAACCTTATCTACCTACATACATCAAAAGGCTTATTGCTACCACAGATGATTTTACAAGTATGGTGAAATCACATGAACTGGGGAGAAGATGCAACCCAAATATGTGTTTTTTCAAAAAGTCCTTCTTCATTTGTTGCATCAAAGATATCAACAATATATTTGTTTGGCTTTGTTTCCAGGCAACTCTTTGATGGCACCAGTAGGACGATGGCAGAAAGGCAAAGATCTGTCATGGTACGCAAAAGACAAAAAAGACGGTGCACCTTTGTCCAAAGAGGAAGAAATAGCTGCCGTCAAGGCTGCAGAGCATGAGGCACTGATGGCTGCCCTGTAAGTATACCTAACATATACCATTTAATAGATACAATGTGGGTCAACACAAAGTTAATGTATTTATTCATATTCTCCACCTAGAGGGCACAAGAATATAAAGAGGCAACCAACTGGCCTGACCAAAGAGGTATGTCGCTTTGTTTGGTAATGCTTTCACTGAAAAGCATACGTTTTTATAGAATTTCAATAAATACAATTTGATGATGAATTTTCCCAACTCTCTTACCAGGACCTTGCAGATGTCTGCCGGAGGGAAGATGCTGATGGTGAAGAGAGAGATGTGGACCGTGTCTCCGGCTTGGGAAGCTCCAGGTTAGAACTTTGGGATATAAGAAACCATAAAACAAAGCAACCACATAAAACGAATCAGCAAATGTATAAGTACAGTGTCTTAAGAAACATTTTAAAACAACATTTAGTCTCTCTTTTAAGATGTTTTTATCAAGTGTTCTTTTTGACACTAAAGTGTTAGCAAGAGGGACTTGTATCTTAATTGATGCTATGATTGTAAAAGGTTTGGTAATTAATGATTGTTTCCCTTACAGTGTAGGGTCAAAGAAAATGGTGCTGTCCCAAAAGGAAAAGGAGGCAGCTAAAATAGGCCTGTCTGTTTTTACGGTAAGTTATTTCTCACTGACAAATGAAGATGCAGAGGTTAAAAACGTTAGTGAAATAAAGAGAGACTTTAAAAGTTGAGAGTTCAAACAGAGAGTTTATTCTATTGGATTTACTACTTGATGCAGAGATTAAAGAAATGTTTTTCTTTGCAGCACTGCAAAACAGAAAGTCGTCCAGAATCCTCAGCGACAAAGACGCCTCAGAGTGTTGAAAAGGGAGATGTCGAACAGCGGTAAGTATCCATTATATTAGCCACCTAAGAGAACTTCATGAAAACCAATTTATTTCAAAACATCACACATTCTGACCCTTTTTGATTTGACTCCGTAGGCACGACAGCAAGAAGAAAAAGAAAGAGAAGAAGAGCAAGAAGGACAAAAAGAAGAAGAAGAAGAGGCAAAGAAAAGACTCGTCCTCCTCGGAGTCAGATGACGACAGGAAGAGGTTGGTTCATTTTTCCATACAGATGTTTAATTCGTCTTAGTGCGGACCTAAATACAGAAACACTACATAGTATGGCTTGGATAAAACATTTTCCGATTCTTATGTGCTTAGAAGAACATCTCTATCTCCAAACCAAATGTAGTTTAGTGAAGGCTTCACAAAGCTTCCATAAATGAGGGACATAGCATTTTTTCTGTTCAATATATTAGCCATTTTACTGTGTCCTGTCTAGCAACCATATTTGCAAACTAATAGACTTACTATGAGCCAAACGATTTTGTCTGCCAGCACTAGAGGGCACTCAGGCACTGTGTTACTCACACCATTTGGAAACATGACCTTTTAGATGTAAGGTGCATTTATGACGAGACATTTAATATATATTGTAAATCAAGTGTGGTGGATTAGTCGGGATTGACTATAATTGATTTGGTGGTGAGAGGAATTGCAATTAAACATTAACGTATGACAGTAGTGCAGACCATTTATGATTTAAAGTTAATATAAAACATGTATCCTCACATTAGCTAGTTATATTCACTTACAAGTGTCATTAGTTGTTTTCGGTCACTTTAAAGCTTATCTGGCAGCAACTTTTCCCCAGCCTCACACCATCAAATTCACCACGACCCCATCATTGATTGTCTGTTTCCTTTTACACTTCAGGCACAGAAAGGACCACCATCATCATAATCCATCATACCACAGTCCAGAGTGGAGCCAGGACCCCATGACAGCCATTCAAGGGGGGGGGCAAAGGCCGAGCGAGGAGCCCTCCTACCCCCATCATCGACAACAGCGGCATGACACAGACTCCTCTGTATGGGGGGTCTCCTGTCCCCCGTAACCCTGTCAGCCACAAGACAGCCCCTGCTGGTCACACACAAAGCCACAGGCGGCGCCACGACACAGACTCGGACGACTAATGTCCTCCCCCCCACCCCCCCACCCCCCCCCCCCAGCCCCCCCCCCCCCCCCCCCCCCAAAAGACGCATAACGGGGACAGACCCTCTACAGCAGCTTGAGTGGCCCCGGAGACCTCATTTACCCTGAGCAGTCAAACGGACTGTGGAAGGAGACGGGTCCATGTCTGACTCACAGGATTATGTTTTTAACTCCTTCACACAATAAGTTGGTCATCGTTAGACACTGTTTTTTTCGTAGTATTTTTGGTTGTGTTTGGCAAGAATTTTGTTCTTAAACAAAACACAATAATGTTATCAACCCACCAAATATGAAAATATTTTGAGATTTTTGATTTTAGTTTTTGATCTACTGCAAAACACAGTGTAAGATAACAATAAAAAATGTTATTTTAATTCCGATGTCTGGTAGCTTTTACTGTTTTTTACTAGAGACTAAGAACATGATTTGCTGCAAGCAGAAACATATAAATATCCCACCTTTTTTTTGAATGCCCAAAGTATTTTCTTGAACACTGTTTGCTGACAGGATGAATAACAGTTCAAAACATAATTTACTGATTGAATTAGCATTCTTTATATACATTTCTATTTAAATGGCAGTATTTTTATTTACAAAGCTTTAACTTTTAAAAGTTGTGGTAATTTGTGTCATGAGCACAGTACATTTGTATCATTACCACCCACTTTACAGAGAAAAATATTTAGATATCAAAAATTGCAGCTGTCTTGCAAAAATGTTTGAAGTCAAGAGTGTGTTTCTTTCAATGTTTTTTCTTGAACATTTTTTCAAGATGCTCCCTGATGTCTTCTGTCTTCCTTGCTCATGTCGTCCATCCCACTGCGCCCCCTGCACCACCCAGCAGCTCGGCCCTTTTCTGTTCCCACCCATGCCCGCGCTCCTTAATCCCTCACCGTTCTAGGTTCAGCTCGCTGACTGGTGCGACACCATTGGAATGCGCTCCATTGGTCATAATAGAGTGTAGTGTTTGTGTTTGCCTTGAATTGGTCTGAAAGAGGGTATTCTGCTGGCTGGCACCTGGGGGGTGCACTAAAAAAGAGCAAGGCATTCATAAAGAAGAGTGCAAAAAACCAGGCTGGTCCTTTTATATGGCCGAGTACCGTTAGACGGCCACACACAAACCAAGCTGACGGAGCAGCAGGAGAGGAGGCCACACAAAGCCGCCCTCTGAGGGACCCTGGACTCGGCCCCTCCCCCCCCACCACACTCTCTTGCCATGTTTTATAGGCTTGGCTGCATTAACCATAGCAGCCTAATCAACCTGCAAGAATGCTGTCCTTGATTGCCACCCCTACACAATGTGCTCTCCCCATTACTGCTTTTACCCAAACATTGGGTGGTTTACATCACCTTGGGGCATCACATTTCTCCTAGGGTCAAAGGGTGGCGGCCCCAACATGTTGCCATGACACCAGATTCTTGGGTTTGTTGTTAAATGTAAGTATTGTTTCCTGAAGTCTGTTTCTCTTCTGGCTAAAAGTAAAGTATGTTCATCCGATACCCCCCATGCCTACCAAGGTCGAAATCATCTGATATATCAGGTTTTGGCTACCGAGGAGATTCAGTTTATCAAAAATAAGGTCATTGTTGGTTTGCTTTTCTTCATAGGAAGTGTAGATAACACAAAAACTAAAAACCACATATGCTTTTACTAAAGGCACATGAAACATTGTACATGAATACAACTACATGAAGTATTGCTTAAATACTGCACTATGTATGTAACCCATACTAATTACCAAGTTTTTGGATGAATCACTGTTAATACAACGTCCAATAATTGTGAAAACTGCCCATGAAAAATGTGTGTGACGAACAGACCAAATTGTTTGTTTTTTGTCAGAAAATAATAAAAATAGACTTTTTAATGTGAATAGCTGTAAATTATACAATTAATATTAGCATAATTTAGCTGTTGGATTTCAGGTTCCTGGTGCTGTTCATGCATCGCTCACCATTACAACATTTTCAAATTCATTTTGGGTCTTTCAGCACTATATTAATGATAGCTCAATTTGCACTTGTTTATGTAGCAACAGTGAGCATTGTTAATGCAAAAATAAAATACTACAAAGTATGGAGAAAAGCTAGTTTTATTGCATAGTGTGAGAATGAAAATCAGATGCAGAAACACTTTTTAATCAGTCACTTTAATTACAGTGATTTTTCCTCACAAAACAAAAGCTTTACATAAAAAAACAGACAAACTTAAGAGATTAAGAGTTTCCAAATATTTAGGCAGTTATAAATCAAAAGAAAGTTTGATGAACCCTCAAGACATGACCAGATCAGTAAAGTAACCCACACCTTTTTAGAAAATAAACTTGAAAATAAAAGGCAACATGTATCTTGGATAAGAAGGCATATGTATGGCTTCATGTTTGTTCCAAGCACAGCGTGCTGCAGAGAAAAGAAATACTGGCACTTCATAAAACATGTAGCTGACACTGATTTTGTATTGCCATCAAAATGCAAGTTCATAGATTTGATTAGTCTGAATAAAAAAAGACATGACTTACTAGAGCCTTTAGTGAAGACAGTAGGGCCACTGTAGTGTGCAACTCTGTATGTTACAATTACCTAACACAGTCACACGAGTTACAGCATAGGGCTGATGAAATAAGTACTCAGTAATAGTTCCCGTGCAGCCTTAAGATGTAAACACCCAGTAAATATGCATGTCCCGAGCGACCACATCATGCAGATTTGCTAACAAGTATATTGCAAAGGCAGCACATGATAAACCTGAGACTCAGAAATACAAAAACCCAATGCTGCTTCAACGGACTGCCTTTCAAACAACCATGGAGCAGGAAGATGTGATATTGTTGTAGCATTCCTCAATTCAAGCCAACATACTGTATAACAAAGGCTGGTAAGTGTTCACAGACAGGAGTTCTCAACTGGGACAAAGCAATGTCAGTACAGAGTACAAATAGTAAATGCCAGTGTTTACTAAATGATCATTTTGGGGCTGGTACATGTAATTACTGGTTTAAGTAACCACAGTAGCTGCAAGTAGTGAATCAGTGTTTAATTCAGTTTTTGTGAAAATTAAAAGCCCCTCATGGATCACTCCCTGCAGTACATGTGACCACCAGAACAAGCCATCAGATTGCATTGAGGTCCCGGGCCGACGTGCTGGTAAATTCTTTTTCTCACCTCCCTTTTCTTATTCAATGCACACACGGCTGCCCAACAGCCAGAAAGAGAAATAACCACGGTAGGATTTGTAAGAGTGCAATAAGCTGCCCCATTACCAAACATATTTACAGTTACATAAAACAAAATAATAAAACCTGACAGCTTTACAAGAATAGATCACCTCCACCGCTGGCCTTTTTGTTTGTGACGATAACAGTTGAGGTGAGGGCCGCTTCCAGTACTTTTTTTTAAAGAAGGTAACTCAGTTTTGCAACACCTTAAGAGTAGATAGTAAGGTCAGAGATTGGGTGGAGAAGATTAGTTGTGGATAGCAGGTGATTATTAATGGTTCTTGAGCTGACCAGACAACCAATCCAGTCCTTCGTAGAGGCCATCGCCAGAGGTGGCGCAGGTCGCTTGGATGTACCAGTTTCTGTTACGTAGGCTATGGAGACCCAGCTTGTCTGTGAGTTCTGCTGCATTCATAGCGTTTGGAAGATCCTACAAACAATAAACAGGTAAACCATTAGAAGCAAACCCTGTGAATACAACAGGTAAAACTGGCAGGCATTTGTTTTTCATAAACACCTGCTTGTATCAAAAGATTTCCACAAGTATAACTTACTTGTTTGTTGGCAAACACTAATAGAACGGCATCACGTAACTCGTCCTCTCCCAGCATTCTGGCGAGCTCGTCCTGAGCCTCCCCGCATCGCTCTCTGTCGTTGCTGTCCACGACAAAGATGAGACCTGGAAGAGCAAATGGGGAACAAATGAGTGTGGCTGGGAAGTATTACAACTTTTAAATACAAAGCAGAGTACATTTAGTGACTATTAAAAAAGCCCAATACAAGGTTACTGATTTAAAGCCAATAAATATCAGTATTTGATAGTTTAACATAATTGACCGTACCCTGCGTGTTCTGGAAGTAATGACGCCACAGCGGTCGAATTTTGTCTTGACCACCGACATCCCATACTGTGAAACTGATGTTCTTGTATTCTACCGTCTCTACATTGAAACCTGTATTAAAAAAAACACAAATAATCAAATTATTTCCAACAAAGTTCTTATTCAACAGTAATAAGTGCATCTTAACCCCACTATTTTACAGTGTTTGACTTACCTATTGTGGGAATGGTAGTCACGATCTCGCCAAGTTTAAGCTTGTACAAAATGGTTGTCTTTCCTGCTGCGTCCAGACCCACCATGAGGATCCTCATGTCCTTCTTCCCGAACATAGAAGAAAAGAGGTTTGCAAACATATTCCCCATGGCGACTGGTGAAGGGAACCTACTTTGGCAAAAGAAAAAAAACCTGAGGAAAAAAACAAGACAAAGTGTTCAAATGATCGTGTTATTGTATGTACATCTTAAAAGATTGGTCAAGTGATCAATTCATCCCTGGATCTGTCAATAATATTTTCGATAATTGCTTGGATGGAAAATTATTTTCTAAAGCAAAATGTGTAGAGCCACTCCTTGTACTTGTGTTGCTAAATATTCAGAGACTGTATTACATGTGACATAACTCAACATTACTTATAGAGTGGGGTCGCAAAATACAAGCTATTTCAAGAATGCTGTTTTTTACTGACAGGAATGACATCTTGTCGCACTTGCTTATGATACCTATTGTCCTATGATTCAAAGTGCGGTTAATACAGCCTTGGGAAGATAAGATGATTCGACGTATGACGTTCCGACAGGACACCGGAAATGAAATATCTCTATGCTCAATTGGTCGTTTGTTTCAGGTATCTATACATTTTAAACAAAACAACGAGTCCCGACTTGTCCAATAAGATGTATTCCCCCAAAAAGATCTCAAAATGGGCAATGTGTTTG